TTTATGACAACAAATCGTGGAAGGAATTAGAATTCATCTTTATATATATATGTTTATATCACGTTTACAGTAGTAAAATGTATATAGAATTAAAATGATAATTTTATTTTATAAGCTGGTGACAAAATAACAAATATTTTAACATAAAAGGAGCACACACTTAGCGGTTCTACACATATATTTTTGTCCAGAGTTCGTATTGACTTTTTAAGTCTCAGATGCGTGTGTTCACCTTATTATTATTACCTTTTAGCACGTGCTGAAAAGTTGTCCCACATCTTGAAATATTGCGAACTTTAGCTATACAAGGGCTATCAGCAAAAAGCTTTTCACTGCGTGTTTACTTTACAAACCCAGAAAGTAATTCCTCTATTCAACACGAGGCAACCAACACTTTCTTGCCATTTAAGCAGGGTTTATCAAGAATTGTTGTTGCTGCTGTTGCGCTTTTTGTTGTTGTTGTTGGTAGTTGTTTTCGTGTGCAGTTGCTTCAACACAACAGAGTCAAAAAAAAGCAAGTATAAAATAAGGAAGAGTGTTGTTGTTGTCGACTGACAGATATCCTATATATGGCTGTAAAGTCATTCATAATAAATCAATATTCTATTTTTTGAAGTAGGTCTCTTAATTTTCAAGATATGCTAATTAAAATAGTTGTCTGAAATCAATATTTACTACTTGCTGGTGAAATCAATATTTACAAATAAAAAAAGTACATTTATTCTGCTTATATATTTTACAATTGCAGCTTTTAATCTTTATGTTAAACAATAATATATAAGTGCTTTAGCTGTACCAAATCATGGTACCCATTTTACCAAAATTTAATGGATACAGGGAATAAAAAAAAGAACAACAAATCGGCAACGTTTCCATTTCATTGCAACTGCTGGTGCTGTTGCTGATGGCGCTGCTGCTGTTGTTGGTGTTGCTTTCAACAACAGTCATCCACTAAATCTGCAGCCCGCGCCCTTGTTGCTCATGTGTGTGTGTGTGTCTGTGTGTTGTGCTGTGTTGTGTTGCAGGTGGCAAAGCATAAAACTTCATCATCGTCGCCTTGGCTCTCACGTGCTCTCATATGATGATGTGAATGATGCTGCTGCTGTTGTTGTTGCAGTTGCTGTTGCTGTTGATGGTGATGATGACGATGGCAATTAAAGCGCCTCCCAGCAGCGGCAATGATACCACAAAAAAAAAACAGAAAAAAAAAATAGGAGCACCAACAACAGCAGCGACAACAAAAGCAATATATCATGGGTCCAGCTTTTAGCCAGCTTTTCATAATCAGTGATGCATTGCGAGCAGCTCGCAGCTGACAATGTCGACAACAACGATGCAGGAAAAGCGCGAAAAATGACTGCAATGTTGCCCAGCATGACAATGCTTCTTGTTGCTGCCGCTGCTGCTGCTGCTGCTGTTGTTGTTGCCGCTGTTTGGGGGTATTGTTGCTGGTGTTTGCTGCTGACATAAATCCATATTTTCAACAGCAAATTTCACGATTGGCCACAACAAAGAACGCGACATGTGGAAGACGAGGAAATTGCTAACATTTTCCAATTAACGTTCAAGTTCAAGAAGCGACTGCATTGCAATCGTAACAACAACAACAACAACAACAACAACAGCAGCAACAAAAGGACAACAAGAAGGACAACGACACCTTTCCCAGCTTTAGCAATAGACAAAAGTCGCATAAATCTCATTTGCTGCAACAGTGCCTTCCGTTGAAGATGACAAAATATTCGCCCGTCACATTGTCACACACACACACTCTCACACACACACACATATGTGCATACCTAAACATATAGCCAGTACAGTCAACGGTGGGTGGCTGGTGTGTGTGGGTGGTGTGTGTGTGTGTGTGTGCATGTGCTTGGCTGGTCCATCATTCTTCATTTACTGGACCGACACCAACAACGTTGTCAGCAGCTGCTGCTGGCAGCAGAATCATCATCTGCAATAGCAACATCATCATAAGCATCAACATCATCAACATCATCATCATCATTATCATCGATGTGGATATGGATGATGCTTGGTATACCCTATAAACCATACAATTAGGCTAAAGAGTATATAATATACGCTCTTTAGAACTAGTTTAATCCATTTTTCCAATAACTTATATAACAATATTTCACTTTTCTGTCCTCTAAAGATAGTTATCTAAAGAGAAATTAATTGAGTCATCTGAAAAATAAGGATATGCGCTAAAATCTTAGTCTTGTAAGAAATACAGCCATTTTAGATACTTTACGTTAAAAGCTAAGTTGATTTTTCTTATAAATATAATTCATACATAAGAATTATAATGTATTCGATTTCAGATCATTACATAAATTATACTTATTATAATATTCTGCGTATTCTATTTCTATTGGAGATGAGCATAGTTTTAATTTTAAAGTTGTTTATTTTGAAGATTATTTTGGAAATAGAATATATATTGAAGTAAATTACAAATTGTTTAGTGCATTAAAAATACCGAAACTGATTTCGAAACTTCAGTTTGCCATAATATAACATTTTCTTTAATAACTTCGCAGACATATTAATTTATTTTATTTAATATTTGTGTCTTAAACACTGCTTTTATTTTTGGCAATTCCGAGCTAAGTGCAGAGTAACACCGAGTCGATCACTCTCGAGTGGAACAATCTTTCTAGTTGTTGATGGTTTGGTTGGCTGGTTACTGCGGATGCTGCGCTGCCCGATGTTGATGATGAGCGTTCAGAGATAACGATGACGCATTAACTTGCTTTAGCGTGGCACCGCATGCGAATGGCAAACAAAGCGCGACAAGCGAGCAAACAAACAAAATGACAGCGAAAGACAGACAGACAGACACACAGCCATACACACAGACAGAGACAGAGACGGACTGATTGAAGGACAGTTCGAGGGAGGAGGTCAGTCCAAGCGACAGGCAGATAGATGAATAGTTTGACAGCAGTCAACAGTTCAGCGATACTCTTGGGGTCAGAACTTTGCACTGGACTGCACCGTAACCAACTTTTGACAATATTAGGCAAAAACGCAAACAATGTTGCTGAAAGGCTTTCAAGCGCTGCTTAAGCATTGCAAAATACACCACCAAGAAATAGTTCAATAAGGCTGCTAAAGTCGATGGCTTTGAATATAAACTGCACAAATAGTTGATGAGGTGGCTAATGAAATTAGCATTACGAATGCATATTTTTAATATGCATTTTTTAACATTGCAGCATATTTTTCTCTTGGGAAATATTAATTTTAATTCGAATTATTCGTTAATTATTAATTATTATTCCATAAATCAATTGAATAAAATAAATACTCAGCATATATTTCATTTCATTTCATTTCCATAAACTACATTAAATAGTAGAAGCACACGACCTAAAAAGAGTGGAGCTTTAAGCCGAAAGCAGCTTAAAGTGTTGCCTACACTCGAGGGCCTCTCACTAATTACTTAATTACTGTTATCTGCACAAGTGTTTGGGAGTGTCAGCCAAAAGCCACAAAAACTAAAACGAAAAAAAAAGAAAAACAAGAACATGGCCATAGACAGAGGTCGGAGTAAGCCACACAAACACACACATACATGCACACACACAACACACACTCACACACATGCACACAAACACACACAGTCACACCTGAGGCCAGACTAATCTATCATGTGCCATAAAGCGGCGCCGCGATGGTGTCGCTGTCCATTATACCACTGCCAAAAAGGATAAAGGAATGGTGCAGAGAGGCGAGGATAGAGAGAGAGACACAGAGTGGATACCACATAACGGGGCAATCGTTTTTTGTTACTTACTCGACTCGCCGCACGATAAGCCTCATTGTGTCCGGTGAGCTGCGCACGCGGCTTTTGCGTACGGGCGGACGTACGGACGGATGGACAGACGGAGAGGGTGTGCGAAATGTTTACGACACCACGGGGAGTCAAAGAGGAGTTCAGTTTGCACAGATGCTGCGAAGCGAATGTGGAAGCTGATGTTGAAGCTAAAGTTTCAACTGATGCCATATGAAATGGTAACTGAGACTAAGCCCCCCAACGAGCCGCTAAAAGCCTTTCCACTGCTTGTATTTCTCTTTCTCTCTGTGTGTGTGAAAATCCTTGCGAACGATATTTGGGACGGTGGTTATTTCATTTGTACGGCATTAAGCTGACACAACATGTTGCAACAAAATGTAAAGACTATGCTGAACACGAACAGAACATGTCAAGTCACATAATGTTAACCCGCTGGATGCGGGCAGCATATCAAGCATATCTGAATTTTAGCAGCGATGTTAAATTGTAGTCTGTTAAACAGCTGCTCTAAAGTATGCAATGATTATTTTGTATTTTCCCGTTCACCTTCCATGTAAATTAATGCTGCATACTTTCAAGCGCTTGCAAATTGGAAACATAATGAATTACTTCGTATTTAATTCAATTTAATATTATATTTAATAATACAATAGCATATTAATAACATTAGAAATATATATTATATATAAATATTGCAGATTTCTTAAAACTGTCTATAAGATGCGACAGCAAACAAATAGTCCAAATGGAAATACCATAATAATTTGACGATGCCATTTCTCTTTTGCCTTCAAAACAAATACATTATGTAAAAAACGAAGAATATTTCCTGTCAATAAATGCAAATTGATAGCGCAGCGAAAAAAAATATTGAGAAGGGAGCTGTACGGAAATCAATTGGGACAAAATGGATGCTAGTAAAATATTTGAAATGATTGTCAGAAAATATGATAAATGCTGATTCAATGGGATAGGTGAAAACTTTGAGCAAGACAAATGAAAACGAGCAAGAAATGCAGGTAAGCTGAAAAGTTAACGAAAAATACCCTTTTAAAAGCTATGTTTTCTTATGGTTTCAAAAAATAACAGACTTTAATGTGCTCACTAAATATTATATTAAGTCAATAAATTGTTATTATTCATCATCATTCATAAGGAGAACTGTAGAAATTTGAAAGTGTTAAAAAGAACAAAACATCAAAGAACTGTTTATTTAATGCTGATGCAAAAATTTGGGATTCATTTTGGAACATATCCAATTTCGTGAAACGTCTCGACTTGAGGAAATCATTATTGCATATGGAGGACACGACTACAATTGGCAACAACCGAGCGTTGTAGACGCCGCATCGGTATTGGGCTGGGAAGCATAGGAAGTGAGAGTCCTCGATAGACAATTGGTCTGCATGGCTTCCCTCGAACGTATCTGTTGGCTCAACGGAATGCCCGAGACGATGCGATGATGGTCGCCAAAGAACGGATGCTTGAGCGCCTCCTCAGCAGTGATCCGCTTCTGTGGATTCACTTCGAGCAGCCGGCCAAGCAGATCGTATGCGTGTGCGGGAAACATATCCAATCCATCGTACGTCTCCAGCTGATGACTGCTATGCTTGCAGATGCAATTGAACGTTGCCTGTTCGCATTGTCGACACATCTCCGTATTGCCATCGGCACGTCGATGACGTCGCTGCATTTCCGGTGAGACAAAGTGCTGGGCATATCGCAAGCGCATGCAAACCCGACGCAAATCCAAAGCAGCCACTTTCTGGGTAATCAACACGAGGCGATCCAGCATAAAGGCTGCCTTACGCACCTCCAGATCGCCAAAGAGATTCATGATCTCCGAGAGGGCCGCACAATCCGAGGGCGCCTTGAAGAACGGATGCATTGTGGACAGCATGGAAAGCATTATAACGCCGGCTGCCCAAACATCGACAGCAGTTGTTTGATGGGGATAGCGTAGCAGGACTTCCGGTGGTCGATATCCAGGTGTGCCCGCTCTCGAAGCATGCATCTCCTTGCGACTGGTATTCGTTGAGATCACATAATTGTTTTGATCCACATTCGCATTCGTGGAACGCAATCTGTTGATCAGCCGTTGCGTGTCTGCCTTTTGTGTGGCCAGCTCTTTTTTCGTCGGTTCGGTGAGCAGTTGCTGATGATTGCTGTTTGCGATGGTGGTGGTGCTGCTGCTGCTGGTTTCCCCAAAAGCTGTGGTGCCACCGCCGACGGCACGCTTGCGAAGCGCCGCCGCCTCATTCTCCGCCTGCAGACTGTTGCCGTCGTGCCGCTGCATCAGTTGCTGCTGTGCCGCATCAATGTCATGCAACAAGGCAGCGGCGCCACTCAAATCCGATGGCTGTATTAAACGGCCATCCTCTGCCAAACGCTGAGCAAGTCCAAAATCACAGAGCAAAAATTTGCCGGTGCGACGATTATACAAAATATTACTCGGCTTCACATCCCGATGGATGACATTGAATTTGTGCACATGCTGCAGGGCAATCAATAAGTTGCGCAAATAGTCCTTGACCTCGAACAGACTCAGATTGCGAAAGATGTCGTGATAACGATCGTGCGACATAAATGGCATTACAAATGCCACATTCTCATTGTAGCGTATGCAACAATTGATGCCGATAACATTATGATCACCGCCCATCCGAAACATGCACTCCAATTCACGCAAAATGCGCTCCGGATGATTTGTGGGATTGTGATGTTTGATGGCGAAACGACGTCGCTGCACCTCGGGCAGTTGACGTTCCCGTTTCAAGGTGCCGAGGAGAACGGTGCTGAAGGTGCCGCTGCCAATGCGACAATGCATATCGAATATCTGCGATATCTCCGGTATGCAATTGTGTAGATCTAGCAGCGCTTCGGCATTTTTATCCTGCACCTGTAGCGCTGCAAACTCCCTGAATTTAATCGTATTGCGGCGAGCCATGCGTGTGAGCTTATCGCTCAAATCGTTGTTGACACGTTGCACCTGCGTCAGCAGTGGCAGCACAGTTCCATGTGGTTGCGCCATCTGTTGTTGGCTGTTGTGTGGCACGCAATAGCGTCCGATAACACCCATATTGCAACGATCCTGTTGCCTGCTGCTGCCAGTTGCTGCAGCTGTCTCCTTGTTGCGACTGTTGTTGCTAAATTGTTGACTCGATTTCTTATTCGCATTGGTTTGAGTTGATGTTGTTGTTATTGTCATATTGGAATTTGAGCCCTGCTTTAATTTAGCCTCGATTGCTGCTAGCTTGGCCTGTAGATTTTGATTGCAAAATAAAGGATGTGTTTTTTGCTGTGGCTGCTGTTGTTGTTGCTGCTGCTGCTGCTGCTGCTGCTGCTGCTGTTGCAAGTTGTTGTCCATTTTATCCATTTAAAACTTTGCAAAAATTAGCTAATTCCATTCACAGTTTGGCGGAACACAGAAGAAGCAGAAAGAAACGATTTGCGGTTTTTGAATTTTTCTTCTTGTGGAGTGTTTTTTTGAGTAAGGCGCTGAAATTAGTTTGGCGCTTACCCCAATAAAAAAACCAAAACAACAACAATAATTTCGTACAGAATTTGTGTGTGTAATTTTGTTTTGGCTAGAGAGAAAATGTTTTTATTTTTTAATCAAACAAGACTATTTAGCAGCAAAGTACAAAAATATCTGATTTTGACAGTAAAATAAAAGAGGCAGCTAAACTTTAACTACATTTTGTTCCAATTTCATTTGCGCATTGCAAGCGTTCATCAATTAGCCATTTAAGACCGATCATTGTATCCATCAATTAGGTGTTATGAATTATGTGAACCACATACCATGCAAATAAATAAATCAAATTGAGTAAAATCAAGTGTTGCAGCCACTTTCGCATTTCTCATCCCCATCAACAGTCTGACATGCACTTCAAGCCACTGACTGGGCAAATCAAAACCACAAAGTTATTCCGATGATGTGTTGAAAGTAGCACACACAAACACACACACACACAGACACACATGTTGTCTAAGTTTATTTGCATTCATATATTTCATATACGTTTCTACCTCACAACTCGCTTTGCTTTGCTTTCTGCTCGTATCTGGACATCTCTGTGAAGCTCTGTGTCATCCTTTATCATCGCAGCGAACCTCAGCCAAACCCCGCTCCCCTCATATATTGTCACAACAACACGCATGTACACACACACACACACACACACACACACGTACTCATACGCACTTGGGGAAAAGCGGCAGCAAATGGGCTAAACGAGAAAAGCGGCAGCTGATGCTAGTTTGTGTTGTGCAACTGGCGCCATCTAGTGTCAACTTTTGTGCATGCAATTTACCGTTACACAGTCGACACTTAAATTGTCTGAATTGCCAGCACCCCATCCAGGCTCCCTTTCCACGTGTACCCCCTTGTCCGAGGACTTTGTGTCAACATCAGCTGCCTCGCCTGTCCACTTGTTTTTCACTTGATGCTCAAAGTTTTCAGCGTTTCAGCGGCAACAGCTGCCATTGGACTGCCACGCCCACCGATCCAAAGTTCTGGTCCGCCAATATATTGCCTCTATTATTAGTTCTCTTCAGAGTCGTTGATTATTTTGGAATACCTCGTTTCCATTTAATATAGGGTAGAATGGGTGTTAGATGAAACCATTTTATACTGATAAATTCTATTCAAACTCCAATAATTTTCGAGTATATGTTGAGGATAGATAATATCATATATCTTGTATAGACTTATCTCCCAACATCAGTTTTATTTCTGGCACATAAACATCATCAGGTGTAATCCTTATGCTCAAGACGAATATCGGACAATGGATATAGGATTTATTTATATACCAAATTTCCATCGTTTAGGCGTCTGGGAAAAGGAAGCAAGAAGGAATTATTGAACTCGTTTAACTTGTGTATATAATGCCAATTACTGGGTATCTGTTAGTCGTGCACACTCGACTGTCGTTTAATATTCTCCCTGGCCAAGTTTGTTCGATGAATATATTAAAATATCGTTTCAATAAAAGTTCTCAAAATGTTTGACAGTGGGTTAGACAAAGTTGCCACTCCGAAACTCTAAGCTGCCACCATCCACTCCCTTGCACCGTTCAAAACTCACAGTTATATTTCGAAATAGCAACAGTCTGGCAACATTATTAAATTTCGATAAATCAAGCACTTGATTTTCATTTTAATGGGAATTCAATACGCCTATTATTATGAAAGTTGAAAGCTTGCCGAGTGCTAATTGCTGGCGATTTCAGGCGAGTTGGCAGCTCTCGAAATTTGACTACAAATTGGTAAAACTAGACAAGTTACGATCTCATATTTGCTGCCTAGTTTAACTGTCTTCAAGTGTCCACTAACTTCAACTCAAAGAACAATTGCCGGTTTGACTTGGCTGGACGCCAAGAGGCCATGGAACACAATACCGGAGAGCACTTGATGCCGACTTTTGCCAGCTTGCTGCCCTCGTTGCGGGCAAAAAGCAAACTTTATCAAAGTATTCGGACCAAATTTACTTGGCATCTCATCCTCTTCCGGTTGCTTCTCCTCTTGCTGCTCCATACAACAAAGTAGACGCGCGAAGTAGTAAACACAAAGTTTTAGCCAATTGTGAATTGGATTTGTACAGCAGACGCTCAGCTCGACGCCCCAAATTGAGAAACTAGAAATACAATTAAGTACAAAACGAATTAGCCAAGCTCGTGAGCATTTTGGGCCTGCCAAATAAGCGGAAGTTGTGGCGGGGCAGTGCGGAGTGTTGGCGAAAAATGGGCAATGGGCTAAGTTTGTTTTGTTTCTGTTTCTATTTATGCTTAAAGGCTTTAATAAGTTCAAGAAATCTAACACATATATATGCCTACACTTGAAGAAAAATGTCTAAATTAAATCTATAATTGAAATCGATGCACTTAAAAACAAAGACATTCTACAAGTGAAATTGTTGCACTTAAAATAAATTAAAAAATACTTTAAAAGTTCATGCCAAGAAAATCTGAGAAACGAGTTTGAATTTGCTATTTTTTCAATATTTCTTGCTATCATACTTGATCCAATCAAAATAATATTAAAACTGTTAACAAGTATTTATAAAATCAGAATATATTTTGGAGTATACATAAAATATTGGGAGTGCAGTTCATCAAGGCCAAAACACTCCGCCAGCACATTTAAGCCGATTGTAAATGCTCTTTGAAACATCATTTGACCAATTCCTGGCCACATTCCTCAATGTGACCAGCCAAGCGGAGTCTTCGCTTTGGCAACAGGACGAGCTACGAGTGGCATTTGGCTGTCAATCCAAGCAAATTGCCACCTCATGCTTATTTTTGTTCTCTTTACTCATGTCCTGCCTGCAGTACACATACGCACACACATACATACACGCATAGGATGTTTGCCAACACTCGATTCGTTGCATGTTGATTGTTTTGCCATTTTGCGGTTTCGTTTCCCGTTCCGGGAGCGTGCACAACTTGGGAGTTGGTTGCGGTGTCCGGTGCCTCAGCCGCAGATTGGATTCAATGCAGGATGTACGGATAAGGTAGTCACGCGATGTTGCTTTGCTAGCTTCCTTGCTTGCCTGTTCATTTGATGTCCTTCTGGTGTTAAAGCCTCAACGCATATTTACACATGACGAACTATGTTCGGCAACTATTCAGGATCCAAATTCGCTTTGTGCTCGCTTTTCATTTTGCGCTCACGACTCAGTTTCATTGCCCACAACAAAAAATTAACTGTCCAGCATAATCTCAACAAATAACACACAAATTTCATGGGCAAATTTCAAAAAATAAAAAACAAAATAAGCAACAATGATGATTTTATTTAAAGGTCAACGCAGACTTAATACCCTAGCAATGGACGACAGAGTATTTTAAGATTTTTGTAAAATAAAAATACGATTGTTAAATAAACTGTTTTCTTTTAGCTTTAAATAATAGATTAATTATTTCGCAAAAAGTATGAATTTTTCCATTGGGAACTAATAGAGTAAATACATAATAAAATAGTTCGCTTATAAGCTTAATAAGCTTAACAGCTGATGAACTAGCTTGCATAGAAACAAGGAACAAGGCTATATCGACTTAAGCATGCCCTTTAACATCCAATAACAATATCAGCTTTAGTGCGTGGCAAAGTTCACGACAAAATGATAGTAGCCTCTTGAAGGGTATAACGAGCATCAAAAGGCGCTAGTAAACTTTTTATCGCTTTGCCAGGTAAGACAGGCAGCAACTTTTAAGCGGGCCAAAGGACAACGGCAGCCATTAAGCACACAGAGATAAACAGATTTATTATGCTTAAGGACGCACACATAAAACGAGTGGATGATGAACAGACAAAGAGAGGCAGATAGAGAGCGAGAGAGAGAGAGAGGGAGATGAGGGGAACAAGGACTCAATTTAGTGGCTGTGCGAGTTTCATGTTTATAGATTTTTCGGGTGACCCTAAGCGGCGTCAATTAGCGCCCCAGGCTGCGGGTGTGCAGCGGATATTAGGCGAATAAAAGCAGCCAAACTCAGACAAGGACAACCAACAACAACACCAACAATAACAACAACGCAAGTAGCACAAGGACAGCAAGCTGCACTAAGCCAAACCAATTCAGCCAGCAAGGAGGCTGCACTTCGATTGCCACGCAACACTGCTTCGCTGCTCACTTGCGACAGTTAGCGGCAAGGACTCGGATAAAAGGACAGCAGCAGCAGCAGCACTAGCGAGAGTAAGGACTACGAAATTAACCGCAAATGAAACTAAAGTCGAGTTGAGTTGTGAATCTAATGGATGCCGCCTCGCCAAAGGAAAGGCACTCATCGAAGTTGCCACAGTCGCGACCAGGTAAAAAGTTTCCTTCTACCTAATTTTGGCCGCTCGAATTGGAATTGCGCACAGGGAGTTGTTGGTGAAGCGTGTAGGAGATGGAGGGGAAGCCCTGCTCAACTAACCGCCAAGATAGTGGAATATCCCACGTTGTGTCCTTTAGAGCTTAAGTACGGAAATTCTTTATAGCTTCATTTGTAAACATTTGGTGGCTTATTAAATTAGTCTGCCTTCCGGTTTGATTGGATTTGTAGGGGATTTGTACTGTGTATTCCCTCTTGGCTTAGTTAGCTTGTAAAGCAGTTTAAAATGCGGTCAAATTGTTTTTTGAAAATTATAGTAAAATGTAAATAATGTTGGAGAACTGAGAAAATATTAAAATACCTGCATAAAAAGGCAATATGCAATCGAATTATGAGAAACTGAGACATTTTTCTTTGAGATTGCTTCAAAATAGTTTGAAAATGTCAATCAAATTGTATTTGTTTATATTTCTTATGCAGAATATAGGTTCTTGAACTTTAAGCTTTGGATTTCTTCTTTCCTTTCCCACAATTTATTTGTGAAAATGACCAACCAATCAACTTGAGCAAAAATGAGCGGTATACGCATAAACCAAAACCCAGCTGAGTTCAGTGCGCAACCTTCGAGTAACCTTAGTAAACAATTTAATTGCCGGAGCAGGCACAACTCGCTCATACTTGACTGCGCAGCAGAAGCAGCAGCAGAAGCAGAAGCAAACAACAACAACAATAACAACAAGAAATACAACAGCAAACTTAAGGAAAATTTGTCGCCTAGAAACCAACAGCGATTTTCTCAACAAACAGAAGTTGCAACAGTTGTTGCTGTTGCCGTTACTTTTGCTGTTGCTGTTGCTGTTGGCATTGCTTTTAAGCTTAGTTAAGAAGCACTTTGAAGTGCTTTGGCTAAAGCTGCGCAAAATATCCTTGCAAACAGAATCACAGGACTCGAACCACTTCGAAATCAACCAAAAATTGTTGCTTCATTGCGTTTTATGTAACTGCTGCTGTTGCAAGTTGCTTTTTTATTTGAATGCGAACTTTGAGCTCCCGACTCCACTTGGCACTGCCCTAATGCCCATACAACAATGTCCATTGCTTTCGACTGCGGTGTCTGAAATCTCTGCACAGCATTTGATTGGAATTTATATTAAGAGCAGCTCATGCATGCAGCATACGGTAATAAATTTGTTGATGTTCAACAGCTCGAAAATGCAATTGAGACTGTCGCAAAGAGTATGATGACTTTTTCGATAAGGTGAGCAAATCAGTTCAGGCATAGTTTAATTGGGATTTTTATTCAAATTACTTTACAAATATGTTTAATATAAAATATAAATTATTTTTAACCTTAGCTTCATATATATTCTTTTTCAGATCTGTCATTTTTTTCCATGTTTCTTAGCAATTGCTGAACCCTCCAAGTAGATTCAAAAAACTTTTCAAAAATACTTCATTTATATCAGCTCTTTTTATTGGAGAGTTATCCTATTGAAATCCTACCCAATATTATATAAATTGTAGGGTATTTAAGACTTAGAATCAACAAAATTAATCTTCTTATATATATCAGTCTGACTGACAAATTGTCGTTTGTCACTAGGAAATGCAAGGAATATTTTCAGCATGCAGACCAGTGGAAAAAGTAAGGACAAAGGCAATAAAAGCTGAGAATCAAGAGAACATTTTGCAATTGGCTGCATTTTTGGCACACACGAGATATGTATCGAAGTGAAAGTGAAGAGAAAAGCTGTGAAAACTCTGACAAAATGCAATGCAAAATTCATTTGACTATGAAGCTCAAGCTGACTGTGTATATTTTTTGGTGTGTTGACAACACTTTGGCTGAAATATTGCCTGCTGCAACATTTTGTGGCCACGTTTTGCTCTTAAATTCTTAATTGCTCCACATTTTCCATTTCCCTCGATCGTTCTGCTTTTTCATGCTTTGGAAATCGTTACACAAATATCAATAACAATAAATTGTAAATTTATTTCGAAGCTTGCCAAGCAAGTAAAAAAAAATAAATATATTATTATATTTATTTTCGCTTTTTTTTGTGTTTTTATTTTTGGCATTTTGTTTGTTGGGCTCGAACCAAAAACACAATTTGCCTTTATTGAGAATTTCGTAGGCAGCAACAACAATTTGTCTTGCTTAATCTCAGTTCATTAATTTAAAGTGCTACTTGGAGAAACGTTTCAGAGAACTTGGGACTTGCCAACTTGTCCCCATCTACTGACCATCAGCCACCCATCCCCATCCCCACCCATTTACCCACATTCTCCCTCCACACTTTTGGCGTGGTCAGATGAAGGCAAACAATTGGTTTTAGCTCTGCATTGTTGGCCTGTCAAAACATCTTTTGGGGTCTTGCGGTTTAGTTGCGGATTTTTGGTGGGTTGCCTCTAGACGCTGTTGCTGGGCACCATTTGGCTTAGCATTTTGCAATCATTGTCGAGTCTGGTAGGGATGTCAGTGGAAGGGGTTTGGGGTATGGGCTTTGGGGTTTGAGATTAGGGTCAAGTAGTGCCAACTTTTGGCCACACACTTTTGCTGCCTCGCTTTTAATAATTCATGAGCCACTTTCTGTGGCTGACCTTCACAATTTCTGGCTTAATACTCATTGTGGTGGGCGAACAGAACATCTCTTTAAAGTCGCCACACGAGTCTGGCCAGTCGCAATGTCAAACGTTGGGCGCGTGGTCCTCTAAGAGGCGCGTTGGCATAGTATTTGCCAAGAGTTTGGCATTGATTTCATTTCATGTCCTGACAAATTCTGTGGCCTATTGACTGTAACAGTGACAGATTGAGGCAGCTAACACCAAAGTTTAAGTTGTCAAGTGAGTGGGAGAGCTTTAAAAAGCTGTAAGCTGCTTACAACAAGTCTTCCACTAATAGTGCAAAAGAGTGTGTCAAGTTTTTAATACAATGTTTGTTCTGCCTCCGTTTCGTTACATTCAATTTAATTGAAATTGTTGTTTATTTTATTATATGAATCTCAATTCAGTATCCAATACATATTTATAACTCTTTAATATATTGCATGAGTTCAAGTCTAGCCAATTTTTTTAAATAAACGTTAAAACTTCACGTCACGTCAAGTGCTGTAAGCCACTCGTCCTACAACAATCAATCAATCAGTAATTTTCGTCAATAAACAAAAAATGTGAACCAATTCCTACTTCAGTTTTTTTTAATACTCGCTCAATTCAATTGGGCTTATTCACATATGCTTATCGAAAAACATTTCGATTTTGCAATTTATTCCACAACTTGTTGAACTTTCCCTCAGGGTTGAAAATGCTGCGCAGCATAAAAACCTGCAGCAGACCCACAAATATCATGGCAACCAACTGAACACTGGACCAGATATTGACCAAAGCAAAGTTGGATTCGGCCAGCTTGCGATCCCTGGCCTCAAGGGTGCGTATATAGTCCTGAGTCTGTCTCGATCTCATCATATTCAGATTGATCTTGCCGACATAGTCGTGCATATGCGTGTAGCTGCGATCAAAATGATAATCTGTGGTCATCTCCTTGATCAACGCCTGACGATCCAGTTCCTCCTGATTGCCAGCCGCAATCTCCAAATAGAAGGTGACAGTCTTCTGATTGAAGGTGCTGATGGTATTATCGAAACACAATTTATAAATGCCCGTCTCATTGGCATCCATACGATGCTTGCTATTGCTCTGTTTGTGATCCGTGACGAGCAATCTGCGATGTGGATCCATCAGTATGAAATTAATGTGAGCCTCCCCTTGCCCACCGTCAATCACCTGATATTCCAATATTATGGTCTCAGTGGCTGCGACTGGTTGATGAAAGCATTCCATGCGAGCTGCTTCTGCAAAGACTGTCAAACGATGGCGAAATACCTCTGAGTTGCCGCCAGGTGGCATCGTCAACAGCAGCAGCAGCAGTGGCAGCAGCCAAAAACGAATGCAATATTTTGCAATTTGGAACATTTTATGACGATTTTTCTCTTTTCAATATAATAACGTAAAAATCGCTTTTACAAATGTAGAATTCGTCTAACTGCTTCCTTTTTATTCTGTATTTATTTCTCTCTCTCCTTATGGCAACGCCTACTCAGATTCAGCGGCTCTCAAGTAATAACTGGTTGCGCACAGTGGCTGCTGGCAGTTACTGTCCTCCTCCACGTAAGCTAGTAAAAGTGTGTTAGTTGAGTGTGTTCAACGAATAGATACCCTATGAAATGCTATTTTTGTATAACTTGTTACTTTCAGTAAAGAGGATAAAATTAATTCTATATATTAATTTTCAAGCAGGAAGAAATATGATTTCTCAAAATGAAATCAGTTAATGCTACGCTAATTTTTATTTTATATAAATATCTAGTTTATATTAAAACAATATTTCTCATAATGAGTACGAGAAGATAATCTCAGCATGTTAAATATGTTAAAAGTTGGAATACGTTAATGTTAAAAATCTAAAAAATGTTAATATGAAAACATACAAAATAAATATAACTATTTAATACTTGCTTCAAAACATTTTCTGCGAGAGGTACAGGGTATAAATAGGATAAAGTTGCACTGCTACCCTATAGATACAGTCTGCTCTGCTGCAGCAGCTGCAGCAGCAGCAACTAAAAGCAACTGCATCAAAAGGAATATGAATTGAGGTCGATGTGTAAATATTTGTCAACGGTAATGGAAATTTATGCAGGGCTGCTGCCGCTGCTGTTCTTGCTGTTGCTCTTGCCACATTGCCACACCGTGGCAGTCTCATGTCTCGTGCGTGGGCATGCCAAAGTGGGCGCCGTGCTTTCATTTTTTCGTGCAAAACTGTTGGTGATGACGACGAACGCCAGCAAATGGCGCTGTTTTCCAAAGAAACTAAGCAAATAGGCATGCACACACACACACACACACACACACACACACGCACACACACTCGCATCTAGTTACCTTTTGTTTGCACACGTGTGCAGCGGTTTTGCACAACATTTTTTCTTATAGTTTAGTTTTGAGTTCCATGCAATGTTTTTTATGTATTTTCTTTTTTTACTTACTATGGTGTTGGTTGCCCATAAAAATTTCAACAGCTCCGCTGCACTTCAGTTGGGTTATTTACTTTAAAAATGCGCGCTGCACCGCTGCTCGACCTCCTATCTCCCACCAACCACCCCACCCCACCCCACCGCACCACTCACACGTCCTCCGCTACCACAGTGAGGGTTCAAGTTTGCCTCTGGCTAAAATACGCAGTCGATGCATGCTGCAGAGCTACAAATAACGCACCCAACAAAAAATATACAAATATACATACGAATTGGAAGTGCTCGACTGCAAAATACCCTGTACGTTGGTCACTTCTACTCACACAGTTCCTTGCAACTTTGCAACTAAACAAATAACGTAAGTCTTATTTTTAACCTTTGTAATTCAATTGTGTTGATTTTTAATTTACTAAAAACTATCTTGAATTCTTCTTATCAAAAGGATTATAAGTCGAATAATAAATGAATGTAATTTTGTAATTCCAAAACCTTTCATAAGATGAAATAATTTAATATTAAATAATATTTTATTTGCTTATGCTTAACCATAGTTTTTTTGCTACTATTCTGAAAATGATAGTTCTGTGTTACAAATACTTTTCACTTTCGTGTGTTTTGCATTTTTTCCAGGGTATTAAAAATGTTTGTCGGGGTCGATGTCGCCGTTGCCATTGCCAGGTGGCAGTTGGCAGGTGGCAAGTTGACGTCGTAGCAACTGGGACCAGTGCTGCTCAATGCTGCGGTTGTTGTTGCTGCTGTTGTTACAACTGGGCGCCAAGTTTTGCACATGCCGTGAAATGTTGAAGCCTTTACAAGGTGGGTGTGAGAGTGTGTGTGTTGCTGTAGCTGATTGTTTGCCCTAGGCGCGTCAGATGCGTGGAAGAAGCAAGTTGAAAACTTTATACGAGGCACAGGATCCAGCACAGACATGTCAACAAGGCAGCCAATTCACTTCTATAAAATTAAGAAAATTGATTGCCGGACTGCATGTGATTAACTTTCTGGAAAGATTTCAAGGCAAGTCACTGATATGGTAAGAAAAATTCAATAAAAACCTTAAAAAATAAAAATTTGTGTTCTATTTAGAAAATGTGAAAATCGAACAGAGGAATGTGTTTGAATTTGTTAATTCATAAGTAAAACAAATTCTTAAGAAAGGTTTATTAGAAGCGTAGCAAAAGTCAAAATTGCTTGATTGATTTAGTTTTTATTTTATTTTTGTAGTTCCTTAAAAATTGACAAATTCAACGTGACTCTCGTAAAGAATATTATTATATCAGGATATCTTAATTATATTCCTAACATTTTGTCAGCAAATTGACCACAAACCGATCAAATAGAGAGCATCGCATTCATAGCAAAAATACTTCAGTTATTTTCTCTTATTGCTCAACGAGCTCCATTGCATCTCTAAATATACTTCGGACATGTTACAAATTATAAATGTTAACGCTAGTTTACTTTATATATATAATTATATATATATGTTTTTCAATATGGTTGTTACCTTGCCTCTTTTCGACCACGCCCACTGTGCAGTTGTTGGCGCTGGTCGTGTAATTAAGGAGTGCATCAGTTTCCTATTGTTGGCTCAGCGCACAGCAACGACGCAGTGTTAATTACTCCCCAGCGACGTGGCCAATGTGGCTTCTTCGGCGTTCCTTCTCTGGCCAGGTTCCGATCTGGCTTCCTCCTTCCCCACAAATATCCCCCTTCCATCCATTTTCGGTTAGTATTTCTTGTTTCTCTATGGGTAGCTGGCATGTCTGACATAGTGGCTCACTTAGCGAGCCAGTGTGTCCTGTGTCCTGTGCCCTGTGTCCAGTGTGCTGGGTCTTGGGGAGCAAGGCGTTGACAGGTCTTCCAGGCGCGTGAAACCACGCCAATTAAAGCGCCACCTGTGGGCCTGTTTGTATGCCTCTTGTGACTGTCTGTGTGTGTGTGTGTGTGTATGTGGCTGTGTGCTCCCCAGTGATAATATCAAAATGACGCTTCACGCTGCTGGCAATTATGGCTGCCACGCCCAGGTACTCAAAAGAACAATACACAATAAAAATACAACAACAAAAAAAAAAAGGAATAAAGGAAATTTTTCTTGGACATTTAACGCTTAACAAGCATTTCACAGCAGTTACTCGTAAGTGGCATTTTAAAGCTTCCCAATGGTGATCGTTTATCACAGGCCACATTGGGCAACAGCAGGGCACAACAGAGGACAACGTCGCGACTGTTCTGGTCTTGGTCCTTTGCTGGCATCCCTGTTAATTTCATTACACAGTTTTGCAAAAGGCGTCCACTGCAAATGCTGCACAATCGTAAAAACACATTTAATTGCAGTTGGGAGCAAATGAAAAGCGAGCGCACAACTCAGGGAAAGTCTCGGAGTGCGAGAATGGTCGAAGGGGAGGCAGGGGACGAGGGGATGATGGAAGCACATGAAGGTGTGGAATACATACACAAACCATTAAAAAAGCAGTGCCCATTTTAACGATCAAATTATTGCTGCGATATAACTATAAGAAAAAGCCAGCACAACGCAACGAAACGCATCACAGCGCAACGCAATCGGAAAAGGAGCTACAGGACATCGCAAGAAGTCAACTCGGATGCCTTTTTAATGCATACGTCCAGAACGATAATGCGAGATGTCCGCTGACCAGAGAGCAGTCCTGTCATTAAAGTGGCGCCATCTGTCGTCGACCCGTTTAAACGTGCGTAATGCAAACTTTTCAACTTTTCAATTTTTCAACTTAACATGCGGGTTGAAAGACCTGTTTTTAATTTGTGTGCAACTGAAAACGACGTTTCCGACTCTGATTGTAAATGTGTTTGGGTATATAAAGATAAATTCTTGTTAAGCTGATTAAATGTAACGATTTTAAAGGAAATGTTGATTGTCAATTTGTATGGTACGCAAGATGTTGGGAGAGGTATATTCGTGAAGTGTAACTGAACAAATTTTAAGTTCGAACTGCGAGAGGTGTATTTAAGTAAACAATTAACAATAGACAATTCTATCCATTGCACTTTAAATATCAGGAACCTATGATTAAAGTTGTCTATATTGAAATAGAAGTTGTATTATCAATGTTTTGGTCGTTGGCAATGATTGAAAACAAACTATTCTAAAATGTGAACTAAATATCGATTGATTCTTAGTCAAAATATTAGTTTTAACTTATTTTCAGTTTAAATCTGAGTGTCTTAATATACTAATTAGTAAAAGCATTTCACACAAATTAGAGTTTCACAACTTGCTCTAAACTAAAAATAATAGATATATTTTTAAAATGTTTTTCTCCACACATTACCTATTTTTAAAGGGGCTATCGTAATTCGCCATTGTCTTTAAATCAGTCTCTCTTAGCGGTTTTAGCCTACAGTTCCCTGGTCTCTCTACAAAGATAACGAGACTGCCAGCCAGCTGACCTCAAATGCTGAAACTGAAACTGCCCTGATTGTGTCTAAAATCTAACAGAATCAGCTTAAAGTCAGATCAAAAGCCTCGTGCGAATTTGTTTCATTAAATGAGAGGACGCACAATGTGTTTGAGTATGGAGACAGTGCTTGTATCTTAAAGTTAAATGTTGAATTTACTATAAAGCATATTGTAAGCTATGATAATAAGTTTCCATTATTGTAGCAGTCATATTAATATTTCTTGGCTTAATATACGTAAATCATAAATATAAATAGAACAGAGAACCACAAACTTTGTCATGGTGAGTATTAAAAGTGATCATAGTCAAGCAGTTATTATTAACTTTGCTTAAAGCCGTAATTTCATAATTTTAAGCTCTTTTCTCGACCCTAAAACTGTAAGGAGTTTCACCTCATTTCACTTGCCACATACGAGGCAATTGCTCAGTCCACTCACTGATTAAAGGAGAAGACATTATCATTACGAATGCAAGATATTACGAATGCTTAGATATTCAG